CACCCAATTTCGTTTAAGGTGATGAAGGACTGGTAGAAGAAGAATTTTCCCACAATAATATGAGTTGAGCAGAGGACCCAACTCTTTACACTCTCCTCTCAGAATTGATCAATGATAGTATGGCTAAAGGCGAGAGAGAATTGCTATTAGACATACTTCGATTTGTCACTACAATCCACAACGTTATTAAATACACAATTTGAAGGCGTCAAGCCTATCATTAAGTTCTAAATAAGGAAGTGAATTTAATTTTCCTTAAATTAATTTACACACTCCTTTCGCTGTGACAAAATTTACATTTCATCCAACATCATCTTATTCGACTTAATATGACTAGTGTTATTATACAATAGCCTCAAAACCTAGTCATTACCTGTCTGGCAGAGCCGATGATTATACTAGCAGATAAGATTTTGCCTAATTCGCAATCCAATAGCTAACGATAATTGAAATGGTTATAATCTCGCGTCCCTCTGACACCGATGTTGGTAATGTTGTCTCGAATTTGCACCCACAATCTAGTTTCGGATCCTGTTGAGGGTGGAGTTGAGGCTCAGGCGAAGTTGAAACTAAAGTCCAGGCAGGTAAGGATAAGTGAGCTCCAAAGGCATCGGAGAGCCTAGTCATTTATTTTTGCAATATTCTACATTCCATCCATTGCCTATAAGCAAGCAATATTCCATTGTCAATGTATAATTCTCATAAAGTGACTAGAATGCTTTTCCAAGATTTAATGCTATTATCAAAGCCTACGTTTACTATGTCCTCCTACTAATCCGAACTGTGTTGGGGGACTCAACAGCTAAACAGAGCCTTAGAGATCATTGACAAGTGCCTAATCGGGTATGGAACTTTGACGAGCTGAGTGAAGTACCGGATATGTGGTTGGCTCGGATGAAATGTATGCAACTGCATGAAGTAATCAGAGAAAATTAAACTGACAGTCTTTCATAATCTTAAACGAAATTGGGTAGATACATCTCATATACATATATATATATATATATATGAATGAGCTTCCTTCATGTTCTGCTTCATGTTGCTAAACTTTAAAAAATATCACCAATAAGAGAACACAATCGATAGTATCAACCATAAATCAAGCCTACTTATGGAGGAAAAATTTAGGTAAAATACACTGAATTACTTATGCTGTTTTAAGTAGTTAGATAATAGTTGTTTGAGGATTAAAACTGATTTGAGTAGTCAATTTCTCCAGATAGACATACTCATACAGGGTTTCGTGGCAATCTCGACCTGGCATGTGCGCATTAGTGCCAAAGAACATTCAATGACCATTTAGATGAAGTCCACTTTAAAATAGGTACAATAAATAAGATGCATTCACCCTATTTTGTTAAGGTGCGGAAATACTTAATTCCTGATCCCTACCCTATTTATTTCACGGAAACGCATCACTAACTTACGGCGTTACCTACAACATTTTATCAAGTTGGAAACTTTTAACCTAGTTAGTTTCTTCCCATCCACTCCTCTTGCTTGTCCTACTTTGATACAATTCATTCATAAAGGCCACTTCAGCATTATTGACATTTCTTATGAAAGCTAATTTTCTACTTCAAAGTGGGCTTCATCTAAACGGTCCTGTTTCCATAGACTTGTATTGAACCTGAAAGCCAGTAAAATACCTTGACTGCATAACTCGGTTTTCATCTTCAACTAATTGCCCCACTAACTAATGACCATTCTCTTTCCTCTACCTCCTTCACTTTAACCAGCCAGTTTGAATAAATGTCAGTTTTCTTCTGGTTGTCCCATTGCCTTACTAGGCTTTTTCGAGACGGTTAAGATGCCATCTTCCTTAGTACCATATCTTTTTACACATCCACACTATCTATTCGTCAGCCCTGCTAAGCACTCCTCTGTTTGCAGTCTCTCGAGACGAAGAGGATTGGTCGTCTATGCTTATCTGATGCTTCTAGCATGCACCCATTCCTAGACAAACTGTGCCAGCCATTCCCCCGCCCCCTCGTATGTCTTTCCTCCACCAAGCGGTAGGAGGGAAACCAATTAAGCAATTGTAGGCTATGAAAAACAATTATAATACTTATTTAGTTAGGATTAAGTTTCTTAAATTTCACCTCGCACGCACTATCTTAACTTATCTTCCTTCATGTTCTGCTTGATGTTGCTAAACTTTAAAAAATATCACCAATAAGAGAACACAATCGATAGTATCTACCATAAATCAGGCAAAATCTTACCCACCCATCGACTTGCATACATCTGCTTGTGTGCATATGTGACTATAAGTTTGTCCTCATTAGGAATGGAGAAATATTATCATATACAAAGGAGGCTGACACCATCATAAGTATTGCAGCTTCTGCGCGTCTGAAGCCAAGTATCCTGGGCCTGAGGTGTATCCCCGTCTGATGCGAAACTGCCTTCCCATGAGCAGGCATGACAACTGATGGACTGCAGGAAAATTGCTCAAAACAGTCATCAAACACCAGTCTATAATTGTTCTATGGTAGATATAACAGATCTCTCATGCGAACCCCAGTGGGGAGAACTTAGAGGACCAGGTTGGACCTGCTCTCGTTTGAGGTACAATTTGAGGGTTGTCAGCTGTCCCAAAATCCGACTGAGAATCACCATTACTGTCAGTAATCTGGGAGAGGCGAGTCCTTCGGCCTCGTGAATGTCAGACATACACTCGGCGACGTTGAACCCCAACGTCGGCTCTTGCTGAATTTAAGATGGCCTCGGTCTTCACTTTTATCCTGTCGTCTATGAATTGGACGTATTGAGTGCCGCGAAATTCGCTTCTCTCAACAGACCATATCTCAGCAATTCGATGCTTTTGACTTGATACTATAAGACGTGCTGTACCATATCGGTGCTAGGATATAACAAATACAATGTGTGCACGTTAAGAGAGAGAGCAAATGTTAAAACGGTAACCAGATCTAAAGGTGGTCTTAAGTATTACCATCAAGGGTCGGCGTGTAGATAATCAAATGGAATGCAGTGCTCATCACATGTCGTTGCAGACCTAGTCAATGAAGCTGTTCATGGAGAAAGGAAGATTGGGCCTGATGGTGCCCGCGACATTCCTTGCCCAGTTGGAGGGCTATCTCAACCTCAATTAGATGCCACCCGCAATTCCAGCGGGGTTCAGGTCCAGGGCCTGTCAGCCAATAAAGAAGAACCGCGCCCTCTGGGCTATCTGACTCTAAAGATCAAGCAAGATTATCAAAGCAAAACTGGCCGAAATGCATTTGATCTTCTCTTCACAATGAGTCACCTAATGAACACTGCTAACAACAGCATACTTCGCACACTGAATAGTGTCAGCAATTTGGTTTCTCCTTTTAAAGACAAACGGGTTGCTTTTTGCTATCCACCCATTGCTATTCTCATATCAATCGTGTTTTCCGTATCTGGCAAATATTTTCGATTTCTCGCTTTTAGTTTCATTTGTTTGGAATGGTTCTTTCATTGACCGCTTTGGTGGTACCAACCTAACAACTCTGTTACGCCTGCCACCTCACCTCACCAAATATATACTCATGTGAATACGAAGTGAGCCTTTAAAACATTTTTTTTCATCACAGTAAGACTCTCAAGATTGAAGAAGCTGTAGACATACAGAGGCAGAGCATTGCAACTCAACCAAATATACATTATGCAAAACAAACTTGAGCTTCGAGGCATCTCTTGGTTTATAAGTATTGAGTTCACTTCTGTTTCGAATGAAAGTGTTTGACTTTACTGGAACATCTTTGTTAACCCGGTTTGCGAGGCAATCCCCTTCAAATCAGGTGGGTACGTGTTAAACTTTCATCCGCTGTACGATGGAAATCATTAGAGTAGAGTATCATCCTTATAACCAGTAAAGCAAATAGACAACCGGTCAAGAAGAATAAGCCGTCGTCTTCTAGTGGGATCGACCTTCGAATCTTTTCACCAAACGTCTTCATTCGCAATGGAAGTCAGTTAAAGTGAGCCGGCATTATCGTGATCATTATATATAGATATATAAATATAGCCAAAAGCGAAATCCCTCGTGAGATTTTGTCTATCTGTAATGTTGTTGAGCCAACACTTGAGAAAAAACGGTTATAGCAAAAGTTTGAGGATCTATGGTATCAGCAAGATAATCTGTCCCAAGTGTTGAGCTTACCTCCATTTCAATTG